GCCCGGCCGAACCGGGCGCCGGCGTCGGCCCGCAAACGCTGACTGATGACGCCAAATAACCGGCCGCCGGCGCCGGCGAGCGTCATCAGCGTCGGCGAACACATCCGGCTCCAGTTCGATGGCGCTCGACGACGGCGAGAATCGAGCCCCGCTGCGTCTATAATTCTGGACCGATGCAAACTCGCCGAGAAGGCTGCATTCGGCTGATTACAAAGGGGATTAGTTGATTGGACAGCTGATGTAAGCGTTCGATGGCGTCGTGCTGCGTGGAGCTGTTGTAAATCGCCGTCATCATGTGCCACGTCCGTCTGCGTGACGAGAGGCGCGTGATATCGGCGCGGTCCCGGGTGCTCATACACGAAGCGAACAATGCCACTGGTGCAATCATCGGAGAAAAGCTGGGTGCTTGTGAACTTCTGCTTTCTCTAAACAAAGCTCTCAGGTATCTGGTATTTATCGCGTTTCGTTGTTGCGACTGTGGTAGGCCGAAATATATTCACGCAGGCCTATCTGAATAAATGGTGCATGTGGTATTTCATAATAACATAAAAAAACATGTCATGCTAAGCAGAGAGTTGTATCGTGAATAATAGCGCTCAGCCCTCTGCCCTAAATTACAACTGCTTTAGATACAACATTTACAGATATAGATGACTCAGTAGTGGATATAGGATATGCTAAGTAGGTGAAGGAAAAGACACGCTTGAAACGGGGCCTAGATGCACATAAACATAGTGCCTACTGTATTTGCCATATGAATCCGCTAGTCACTGCCCCCGTGACTTCACACGCGCCCGGGTGAGAGTCACTCTGACCCCTCAAAGGTTTTTCCGGAATGTTTTCCGAACGGCGGGGTGCAGCCGTGCCAAATTTTGCGTAGCTGTAGACAATTGAAGAGCGTATCGTTTGCTGTCAGCAATTTAGATGTGCTTTGTAAGGTCGCTGAGCAATGGCAGGTCAAAGTCAGGCTATGGATTCGTGGGGACAATTTGTAGAGAAACGTTCAATCTGATGGAACAACGGAGTGTTTGGCAAAGCCATACATCTCTGATATAGTTTCTTAGGCAAGACAACGATTGAATGAACAAATTCCATGGACCTAGGGTGAAATATTGAGGTCAGACCAAGGTCAAAACCAACTCATTTTATTTTTCTAGAGCTTGCTATTTGGTTTTTATGGTGCTCATTTCAAATGTACTGATGATAGGAGCTGCATTATACATGTTCCATGTACTTCTGAAAGGTCAGAATAGACCTTGACCTAGAATGACCTAAATGGCCCAGGGCAACATTTTTTAAGCTATGCTGCCTACCTAATTTTTGACGTTTGTTGCAATACAAAACTTAAAAACTGTTATATGACTGATCACTATGATCTTAGAAAGTCAAACAAGACCACTAACCTTACTTGAGTATCAATGACCTTTTTCTTAGAACAGGTATCTAGGTCCTGGAGGCACTTTGGACACCAACCTGAAGTTGGATCTTGTTTGATCTCCTGGACCCGAAGGTCACAACCCAGGAGCCTCAAATGTTAACAGAAGTGAGTTCACGCACAGGCCCAGCACACACTGTGAATTTGGCATCTTTATTTTTTCAATAGTTTTTTAGGTCTCGGGGGTCAAATTGACCCCCACACCACGCGAAATGGTAATCGCTTGGCCACCCAGGGTACATGTTAATGCACCCATCTCTGTAGCATCTGAACCCTGCTGGGATGGTTTACAGTCATACTGTTATAGCACAACAAGCCTGTTCAGAACTTTCCAGATTGAGGCTTGAACAACCGTCTCGCCTTCAATACCCTGCCGTGGGCGGTCAAGCTACTACCGTTATCCATTCCTTGCCAATATTCGTGTATTTAGCGTCGAATAGATTCACGCAGGCAGTAGATTCACACCTATCATAGAAGCAGACCAATGATGTATGCCATCCTTACAACGGACGTAAACTGGCTCAGCCATAACACTTAGCAAAGTATCTATTCTCATGTGTGTGGTGATGCGCAGCTTACTTTGCTTATGCATCTGCGTTCATTGCTAGTAAGCAAATCTGTCGAATGCATTGCCTGAAAAGACTGCGATTCTGTTGCGGGAACTGACTGACGACATGCTCCATAAATCAAGCCTTGACAACCTGCTCAAGAAAGGGTCCCAAAATTACATCTGGATGTGTCAAATGTATACTCATGATATTACTACTTCCGCTGATCAGGATGTCAGGATCAGGATGTGCCATTAATCGTAATATCAGGATCAGGATAAGGCTTTATGGCTTTACAGTTTTTACCAAGGTATTGGATGTAACTTGAAGGCGTTAGCACGCTGCCTCATTTTCCCCTGATTAATTTTGCTATCTTCCTGTCAGGAGCCCCTGTCTTAGTGCTTCAACAACGTAGCAAAACTTTAGCCTAGTGTGCTATCTTGGAGTTCTTTAAGATAAGCGTGTAGTGGAGCTACTTAACCTAAATGCCGTGTTGTGTCCATTGGGGAAAGCATAGTTTTAGCTGAAAATAACTCGCGTCAGTTGTATGAACTCGCTGCATTTTGGAACACGTTTGGTACCCCTCTTTAGGAACAAATTACAAGACATTTTTGACAGGCCCAACGCCTTTGGGTAATGACCATACAGACTTGAACCGCGGTTGGAAATCAGGTATGAGGGCTTGAACTGGAAGGCCTCTGACCAGATGGCTCCCCCGGCTCCGGAACTCCTGCGCGGGTAGCGGGCGGCACCGAGCGCTGAGTTCAAGAGCGGCCTCCTCACGTGAGTTGCCTACTGGTCCGTCGTGCACATGCTCGCAGGGGGGTGTCACTGTCTTGTCCGGAACCTTTCTAGACACCATGGGCGAGGTCGCTCGCCGTGCGAGTCCTGATTGAACTGCCGGCGGGTGAGAGAGTCTTGATTGAACTTACCCGGCGGGTGAGCGAGTCTTGATTGAACCACCGCGGTCCGGGTTTTCAGCTGGACCTGCCATCACGCCACGTAAAGGCCAATAGCTTGACCGCTGCCAACCGCTGGCTCGTGCCGTAATAACTTAGCACCCCCCTCTGCAACTTAATGCAGATGTCAGCAACAGGTACCTCGGCACGTGGGCTGCTGTTCAGGGCCGTTTCTGGTGCAACATTTCAACATAACCGAGGTCTAACATCCTCGTTTGATCAGCATTGGGAAGATAAGGTTTGCTGGTTAGGAAATGCGTGGACAACAGGGGTCCAAGCCGGATCCAAATGTCTGCTGCGCGGTGTCACGACACGAGATTAACCGCGTCCCCATGCGCGTCGTAGGTCACGCGTACAAGACTGTAAAATGTAGACCTGCCATGTTTGGGAGATAAGCGTCAGATCCCAGCGATCTGAGGTCATAACGGTCTCAGGAAAAGACGAGACCTGGTCAAGCGAACAAACAACATTGCAGTGAAGGTGAATGTAAGGCTACAAAGCACCTGGATGAAAGCAATACGCTGGAGGAAGCTGGCAATGTGGCATGTTAAGCAATGGTCTCGAATGCGAGTCGCGGGAATCCAAACCATTGGTGTTGCAATGATGCAGGCCATACAAGCCTGCATCATTTCCCGCAGGCCATATTCCCATCATTTCCTGCAGGCCACACAGACCTGCAGGACACCTACCTGCGTCCAACATCTACTGACAAATGGCGGTATTTGAAACTTTTGAGAGAAATGCTAACAAACGTAACTTAATACGGGATCAACGATGTTGTCCTCTGAAACGGTCGTGCTCCCGTAGGCGGCCTTCTGTCTGTGGCCAATGCATAGACAGCTGTGAGTTAGCTCGCGAGCACTTCATCAGCGTGTCGCCTTACCAGCTGAGCTCTCATGGATGGTAGCATATGACCAAAGGTAAGACCATTTCATAGACCCCAAAGGCGTCCTGGTCTAGTATGTTAAAATTTTGGTTTTGATCATCGCTGGAATAACAATACTCACCTCGTTACCACCTCGCTCTCAGTATATCAGTGTGTCTTACCGATAATACTACCATCTCCAGAATAGCAAAATCATATATGGATATATATATATATATCTATATATATATATATATATATATATGTACAACCATAACATGTTTTTTTCAAACAATCATCACCCATCAGCTCATAGCACTGAGACCATGCAAGCAGCAACCCATCTCCTGTTCTTTGATCCAAAATGCGTATAAATTTAGCCTCATGAGATACTTGCTCGACCATCACTGGCATGAAACCGGTCGACCTCGCTGACACGCGCCCGGGCGGGCAGTTGAATACGCATTACTTGAATACGCTTCCCCAAGATCATAAAAACTAAGAGAGCTAGGGACACCAAATTTACACGGTGGGTTGGCCTCTATATGAATCACAAACAAGGTTTATCACATTTCTTGCACCAAAGGATCCGCTGTTCCATTACCTACAGCCATGCAAAGTTTAGCGTGGTTACAATCGCAACCGTTCAGATGTGTAAGAAATATGGGGGGGGGGGGGCGGACAAACTGACCCTCCCCCCCCGCTGCATATTGAACCTTGCATATCGCAAGGCACGCCAGCCCCTCCACCAACGTGACCCAAACTAAGCGATTATTTTATCTTACCCCGTTATGCAAATGAGGCTGGGTGGCTGTATCGTGCCGTGCAGTGGCGCGAGTCGGCCGCCCGTGGCAAAGACCTCCGATCGTCTTTGGTGGTCCGCTGCGAAAGGACGCTCGCCGCTAGTGACCAGCGCTATGAAAATAAAACATAGATATGAAGATAATTCCCCCGCTACCAGCTAGTTGTTCTGACTTTTCTCTTGCATTGTCTACGGAGCGAAGTGTATATGCGCTGAGTGGTATATGCTTTGCATCTTGGAGCATTTCGCGTTCAAGCGTGACTAAGTGTTATAAAGGCAATCGTTCATTTTCCCCATCTATCAGGCTTACCGTAGCCATCAATTTAAGGTCAAACTCATTCACATAGAACAACTCGCTGTAGTTTAGAGGCTCCTTTGGAAGACGCAAGTAATGGGAGACGTCAGCACTGAAAGTTCAGTTCGCTTGACGCTCTAACATCGCTTTGCTCTAATTTAGTGGTAATTAAACTGCTCAAACTCTCTGTTATCGAAGTTCCCAAATGATTAATTCAAAATGGCACGAAAACTTGCACTTCCCAACAAAACAAAAGTAGTAATGATATGATTTGCGGCCGGATTGGCCGGTGTGTGACCTGCATGTCATGTGGGGACGGGACGGACGGGGACGGGACGGGACGGGACGGGACAGGGCGGGACGGGACGGAACGGAACGGAACGGAACGGAACGGAACGGAACGGAACGGAACGGAACGGGACGGGACGGGACGGGACGGGACGGGACGGAGACGGAGACGGAGACGGAGACGGGGACGGGGACGGGGATGGGGACCGGGACGGGACGGGACGGGACGGGACGGGACGGGACGGGACGGGACGGGACGGGACGGGACGGGACGGGACGGGACGGGATGGGACGGGACGGGACAAGCTCCACTGACCGGTGTGAGCCGCCTCGCCAGGTGAACTGGCGCTTCGACCCACTGGAGCCGGCGCCACGCGTGTTCGCCGGCGCGCCGGCCGGCCAGCTGGTGACCCAGGTGCGGGCCCGCGACCGGCGCGACCCGGCGCTGCGGCCCACCTACTCGCTGCCACAGGGCGCCGACTACGCTCAGTTCAGCCTGGATAAAGAGACCGGCCAGATCCGCACCAGGAGGTGAGTAATGCAGTCGCCGCCGCCGCGGCCGACGGGGCGGAGCCTCCGTTGGACTGGACCCCAGGGGGTGACCGTCCGGGCTGGACAACGGGGGGAGGGACAGCCACCGCCACCTCGGTCGCCGGGCCCGGTCGGACGCCGTCGCGCTACCAACATGACGACCGTATTTCGGTGCGTTGGCATTCACTCAACACTCTTATCCTTTTTCTTGTTTCATCCTGCATGCTCGCCACACCCCACTTTTCTGGGGCAGGCTGCATGAGTCAGCAACGAGTGGACCGAGAGGCTCCCTGCGAAGGGAGACCCCGACCTGGTACCCAGCGCACAAGCGCGGGTTAAAGCTCGGCGCCCCCCCCCCCCCCCCGCCGCCTCCCCAGGCGCATGCAAGCCTGCTCCACCGTTAACCATTCTCCTTCATCCCATAGCCCTGAAATGATTATTTCTGTTCGAAAGGGCTCTAGTCCAAATAACACACACGCATAAACCTTTGGTAGAACTATTTACTTGGAAGCGTTGGGTTTCCTTGCAGATGACGTAGAGGAGGAGGGGACTTGGGTGCCAGCTCTGTTCATACTGCGAACTTCCAATATGAATCAACTAAAATTCATGTAAAAAGGGGCAATGACGTTAAGGTTCAGGGACAGGTTTTGCCACATTAAACTTCTTCAACCACCTCAGATCGTATTATAACTGTGTTCGTGGTCTGTGTGACTAAATGTGTTCTGGCATGGACGAAGCTAGCCGTTATAGCATGGTTGCACATACTTAGCTCGAGCTTTTGAGTGTACATGTGTTCGGGTGACTGATGGTTACATCACGACCAGACGACCTGTCCATAAATTCAAGTGGTGCGATGTGATAAACATGATCTATTTTTTGTCACACCGCTTGTCTACTTTCTTTTACTGGATTCATTTATTTGGTTGATGAAAATAGATTTTCCGCCGTACCGAGCATTAATTTCAGTAAACCTTTGGTGAGCCTAACAAAAAGCAAACAACTGGTGTGACAGGGAAGCGATAAATTGATTTCTGGACCAGGCTCTGGCGACACAACTGGTTTCGCAGGCCGTAGGTATGTACAAACGTCGTGGCTGCACATGCGCGCTGCGCTACATTCGCATAGTGCTAACAACACTTGCAACATCATTCGCAACAAATGACTCTGGCCGTGCATTTTACGAAGTACAAGCTATTGACTGATGTGTGCATACTTTAGACAACAGAGCGGTGCTACAACCAGGTGTAAAGAAACAGTGCTGCAGCCAAGTGTAACAAAGCAGCGCTACAGCCAGGTGTAACGAAGTAGCGCTATAGCCGGATGTAACGAAGTAGTGACACAGCCAAGTGTAACGAAGCAGTACTGCAACCATGTGTAACGAATTAGCGCTACAGCAAGACAGCTGTGGTGGAGGCGCGCGCGGCTGTGTTCCTGCTCACGGTCTGTGATCGGGCGCAGGCGCAGCTCTGCATCGTGCAGCTGTCAGGATGCAGTCCGTGTTCCGGGTTGGCTGTGATGCAGTCCGTGTCCCTGTTTGGCTGTGGTGCAATCCGTGATCCGGGTTGGCTGTGGTGCAGCCCATGTCCCTGGTTGACTGTGGTGCAGCCCATGTCCCTGGTTGGCTGTGGTGCAGTCTGTGATACGGGTTGGCTGTGATGCAGCCCGTGTTCCGGGTTAGCCGTGGTGCAGCCCGTGCTCCGGGTTGGCTGTGGTGCAGTCCGTGCTCCGGGTTGGCTGTGGTGCACCCTGTGTCCCTGGTTGGCTGTGGTGCATTCCATGTCCCTGTTTGGCTGTGGTGCAGTTCGTGCCCCGGGTCAGCTGTGGTGCAGTCCGTGCCCCGGGTTGGCTGTGGTGCAGTCCGTGATCCGGCTCGGCTGTGGTGCAGTCGTGATCCGGGTCAGCTGTGGCGCCGGCCTCAATGAGCGGCCGGTGTTGCAGGCCGGTGAACCGCGGCGTGAACGACACATACGAGCTGGCGGTGATCGCCTACGGCGGCGGCGAGTCGCGGGTCCAGCAGATCAGCGTGCTCGTCTCGCAGAGGAACCTGCATCCGCCCAGGTTTACACAACGGGTCTACAGGTAACCGCTTCGGACACGCCAGAGACTCGCGTGAGACAGCTTACGGGAGACTAAACTTGCGCGTGTGCACTAGGCGTGTCAATCCGTGTCTAAATCAATATTTATGTTGCGCAGCTGCTGTAATTCTGTTTCGTTTCCTCTCGCACCATGTAAACGACACGTGGTGTATGGGTGTGTGTGTATAGAAGACCCAACATCCCGCCCCAGATATGGTTCATTAGATCAGAAAATATATTTGATCAGGAAAGATCTCTCTGCTCCCTTTTTTTCGCTTCCTTAGTACACTTGTAAGATACGCAGCGTAATTAAAATAATTATGCGCTTGACTGCACTCCTTTTCTTGACGATATTGTGTGTATTTTCTCATTTGTTTTGCTCTGCTGTATGCCCACAAAGTCGCGTGGGGGCGCGACAAATATGCCAGGTCGGGCTGCATTAGCCGTGATGTCATTCCCATCGAAGCGGAGGCTCTTGGCACAAGTCAGGTCGGTTGGCCATGAAATCGGATAACGCTGCCCATAGGGCACAGGCCAGCATTACATTTAATGTCGCTTGGCACATACACTGAATATTTGCCCCCGTTGAGTGGAGGCGCGTGTGACACAGATGATGCCAGGTGACAGAGACACCAGGTGTCTGCTGCACTGGAACTTATGCTTTGTCACCCATGCAATGCGGGTTGTCATTGACAGAGGGTGACACATGGGTCTGCACGACCTCCACGTTGCAGGACGTCTGCTGGGCAAAGCGGAGGCGCATGTAACACGCGTTAAGTCCCGTGGTGCTGACGTCCGATGTGTGCCTTCCCAGGGTGGAGGCGCCGGTGAGCGCGGCGGCAGGCACGCCGCTTCTTCAAGTGCGCGCCACCGATAACGACACAGTGGCCTACAACAGGCAGGCCCTGTACAGTATGAAGGCCCCTGAGAATGCGGTAAGATAACGCTCTTCTTATCTGATCACCCTTCCCTCTTCCTCTCTCCATCTCTCTCTCTCTCTCTCTATCTCTCCTCTCTCTCTCTCTCTCCCTCTCTTCTCTCTCTCTCTGATAGTGTGATCTGATCTGATCTGATCTGCTCTACGCTCTCTATCTGATCATCTCCTTCACTCTTCCTCTCTCCCTCTTCTCTTCTCTCTCTCTCTCTCTCTCCTCTCTCTCTCTCTGCTCTCTCTCTCTCTCTCTATCTCTTCGCCTCTCTCTCTCTCCTCTCTCTCTCTCCTCTCTTCTCCCTCTCCCTCTCTCTGCTCTCTCTCTCTCTCTCTCTCTATCTCTCTTCTCTCTTCTATCTCTCTCTCTCTCTCCCTCTCCTCTCTCTCTCTCTCTCTCTCTCTCTCTCTCTCTCTCTCTCTCTTATATATTGGGTTTTGTTATCAATCGCCACTCCAGGTTTTTATTTCTTATCTTTTATATATATATATATATATATCAGACTTCTCAGATGTCTGTCCAGGTGGGGTTTATGGTATGCGGTATAGGATGACCGGCCGCGTGTTGCTGCAAGGCACACGGTAGTCGTCTGCATCCGCGACCAGCGGCCGGTTGCCTGACGCTGGAACGATGGTCAGACAGGCTGGCTGGCCTCCGAGGGTACTTTCCGGCCGCCATCAACGCTCGAGTTACTACCCCAGAGCCGGTACCTGACGCTGGACCAGGGCAGCGGCCAGATCTCGCTGCGTCGCACGCCGTCGCCCGGCCTGCGCTCGCTCAACGTGACCGTGTCGGCCCGCGACCTCGGCTCGCCCTCCTACCACGACTCGGCACACGTCCAGGTCACGTTCAGGACGATATCAGGTGAGCGGACGACCCACCCGATCACCCCAGAACAATCAGAGCGTAGCATGTGTTGCATGACGGGAGACCGTTGCTGTTTATTGGTGTTTCCGGGCGCGCTACAATGGTCATTTTTGCGCCCACGGGAGGCGATATGGGGGCCCGCAGCAAAACCGCTTACTGATGAATGTGGCCCAACGAGTGGCATCACAAATGTCCGACTGGTCGCAAATTCCCGACTCCATGGCCTTACAGTCCCGGCACTTCTCTACCTGAACGCCGCACGAACCACCCAAGCCCCTGATTGCTTTACAATGCCGCTCCAGACACGGCCCGGTTCAGAGTTCAGCGCCTGGTGCTTGTCATTATGCACGGCAAGCTGGTACGGTTTCATGACAACGTCTACCAAAGGCGCCGAAAGTCACCCTCTTTTTAAAACAAGCACGCCAAAAGAGTGATCTGGCAGCGCGATATCCGGCAGCACTGATCACCGCGACGCCTTCGAAGGGATGTTACGGGCCGCCCCGCGAGCGCCCTCCGCTGGACATGCCTCAGCACTCCCTGGTGATGGTTGTATCTAAGGCTGACCAAGGGTCAGGCTGGATCGGCCCCGACCTAATCCCCGGGACTGGGTGTGGTGGCATGCTCTGACCAGGGCGTAGACCAATTGACCCACACCAGTTGAGGCTGCAGGTCACGAGAGACAAATACAAGAAATACACGTGCTCATTTTTCTTACCTTTTGTAATCGTTGGTCTTCTGTTTCAAGATTACCCCTTTCATATTTACTTTTCTCTTCGTTTTTTATTTGCTTTTTTATTTTTCATGTTTAATTTTTCTTAAACTTCTCCTTAAATTGTGTTTGTGCAACTCATTTAGAAATAGGGAGGGCTTTTGCTGACTGTCCCAATGTCACCAATAGTTTTCATTTAAAAATGGGCTTGCTCTAAATCTCAGCAAATCGGGCTGTACGTAAACAAGAGCTCGGCGCGAGGATCAGTTCGCGTTTTGAAGTCAACCACTCGCAGATCTATAAGAAAAAGGCGAAAAGACATGTCAGATAAGCAGAGATGCATGTTTCTTACGCCGGTGGGGCACGTTGCTCACTTCTACATCTTCTAGAGACGTGCTGTCTCAGCTGGCCCTGACGGGTCCTGCTCGCTCTCACCCAAACGGGCCATGAATGGTTGAATTTTAAATGGAAAGATCACAGGACCATTACGTCCCGGGGAAGTCGTTTTCATTGTGGCATTGCGAAGACGCACTCAGTTGCTGAGACTATGTCATTTGTTTCTCACCCTGGCAGGGTGGGCGGGCACCGCGCGAAATCGGACCCCGTGCCTCTCGTTTCCAAGACGTGCGGCTCAACCAACACACTGCCGTTCCTCCTCCCCGGGGACAAATTGAGCTCCAGATTATTGGCGACGCCGCCCGGCACCACCCATTTGCGGTACAACCACGGCTACTGTTGGCCATCGTCGCGCCGCCGCCGCCGCGCTCTGTCAGCGGCGCGAACCTCCGTCTCACCACGGCTTCCGAGCCGCGCCGCGCCGGGCCGGCCGAGCGGCGGCCTGATCGTGCCTCGCGCCCCAGCACCAAGCCGTCCGTTCACCAATCCCACACCCGCGCCGCGCGTCCCTGTGTCAGACGCACACCATCAGCCGTCCGTACACCACCCACACACCCGCTCCACGGCGCCCCTGTGTCAGGCGCACACCACCGGACACAGATCTATGTGGCCGGAGTTAGCAGGAATGCCGTCGGGGTGTGAAAAAAATGCCGTCACGCATGACATTGGAGCATGCGCCTTATAAACGCCTAACTGTTGCCGGGGTTCTGTCACTGAGGATTCTAGCTGTTCTGTTCTATCAGCGCTGTTGGGTCGCAAAAGGTCTGCCTGTTTCACGGCGATGACGTATGCTGAGCTTGACAGCTCAAGATAAATGAAGACAGATTACCTAGTCTGTCGTTTTTTCTTAACGCTTTTTGAGACGATTAAATAGCCACGAAATGCTCGAGTCGCAAGGATCTGGACAGCCACCACAATGCTGGATAAGGCCACGGATGGCCTTTGGAAGTGGATCTACTGTGTTTGGGGAATGCTTGGGAGACCCGGCCTTTTCGGGTCGGGTTTTTTGTTTCGGGCCATGAAGTTTGGAATAACTTGGCTGGCAGATAACGGTATGTAAAAACTAGAAAAGAGCAGAATCAAAATGTTTTGCAGCCCCCTCTCTGTTAAGACACAGCCATTATCCTCCTTGCGCAGATGTGTATGCGGCCCTGTCCGTAGAGCTTCCTGTCCCCCCTGTCAGACATGCGTGAGCCCGAGTCACATCGGGGGCTTAGAATCTAATCGTGTTTATGCCTTGTGAAACTCGGATTGAAGTGGCGTGATACTTTTCAAGCAAAATCAGACTCTGCAGGCTCACCAACTCAAACAAATGTATATTTGAGCTCATGACTAAGTGAATGTGGGTCGCATTCGGATGTATGGAAAATAAGGATATATGTAATATAGCCATGGATTCTGACTTCTGCCCGAGATCAAGTCAACGTGAATTACTATTGTGAAAACAAAACAACCTATAACTGGAAATGTCAAATGGTTTTCATAACACCCCGCAGGCCCAGTCGCTTACCGTCACGGTAGGTGGGGGTGGGGGGGGGGGGGGGTCAGCCACCCTGCGCCTGCAGCTTCGGCAGCCCCCGGCCCGGCGCCTTGTCCGGTGACCTGACGCGTCTGCCGCGGGTCGACAGAGCCGCTGGCCGTGCGGGCCGTGCAGAGCACCAACAGCAGCGTGTACGTCTGCTGGCGGCGACCCCGCAACGGACCCGTGTCCGGTTACATGCTGCAGCTGCGCTCGGCCGACGCCGCCGGCGCCGCCAACGCCACCCGGCTGGTGCTGCGCGACCGCAGCCAGCTGATGACGCGCTCCGTGACCCTGATCCAGGTCAGTCGCAGCACAGGGCCTCGCGCCGTTGCCGGGCCGAGGTCAGGTACCGGACAGGCGACCGCTCCATGATGCTGACTTGCTTGTGAAGATTACCCTTTACCTGGGTAAGTTGCGAATGCAAATGTTTTGGGAGGTGAAATTCGTGTTATAGCTATCGGATATTGTTGGGCATTGCCTGTCCATGGTGAAAGGTTAATACCTGATTTGGGGCAATGCTCTCAATGTTCGTGTGACACCCCTGTCGATCGTAGATGCGAAACATGATTGAAACCACTAAAATGCGATGAGCTGTGCTTAGAAAGCCGTCCTTCGCACACTGTACCCACCTGGTCAATGATACGAAGTTCTGCCCCTGCTGGTTACTTAAAATGTGTGCATACATCCCTCTTCCAATGCTCAGTCCTTGGAAGCGAAGAATGGGGTGAACGGACGATATTTGCGTTCCCATTGTTTTAATGTTTGCTCGTGCATTGTTTGGGTAACAGGAGGACGGCAAAAGCAACGAGAAACACGAGATGTTACTGGAGGAGGACGAAGAGTGTACGCTGCTGGACGGCTTACAGCCATGGACCAAATACAACATGGTGGTGTACGGTTGGCGGGAGCACGAGACTGGGATGGCCAGCCAGATGGTGACCTTCGGAACACGCCTCAGCCGTGAGTCTCCCCCCCCCCTCTCTCTCTCTCTCTCTCTCTCTCTCTCTCTCTCTCTCTCTCTCTCTCTCTCTCTCTCTCTCTCTCTCTCTCTCTCTCTCTCTCTCTCTCGCTCTCTCGCTTCTCTCTCGCTCTCGCTCTCTCTATCTCTCCCGATGCTTACTTTTTCGTATTTCAGTCTGTCCCTTTCGCTCATTCTCGTTAAAACACAATTTCGTTCATCGCACGGTGTTTGTCTCTTTTCACTTGATCAATGACAGGTTTGTGAAAGAAACCTTTCTTTGTCACCATCAGCGCATTGTCATTCCAGGTGTCGCAACAGCTCATGCGTCCATTCGCACGTGTTTCGACTGTCCGCAGCATGCACGGGAAACGTGTGCGGCAACGGCACGTGCCGCCGCTCGGCCGGACGGCCCGGATACACGTGCACGTGTCCAGAGGGTGCCTACGGCCAGCGGTGTCAACACGTGGACCCGTGCCATACGAAACCGTGCCAAAACTTCGGCGAGTATAGACGAAATGTGCCATTGCGCATGTTCTGTGGAATCTAGTAGTTTTTCATGCATGCACGTTACAAAAAGATGTCTGCCGGATGACGAATTGGCCATTAAACGACGAAAAGCTAAAGCTAATTGTCACCAAATAGAAGCAATTTCGCAGCACCTTAAGCGAACTCGCTGCAAACGTGATGTTTTGGGCGGACATATCACAGGCGGTGAGGACACAATCAAAGACTCGAGGAGTTCCGCTTTACCGAAAGTCCACATTTGAACCATTGGTTAATAGCGTGGCTGCACAGAGGAACTGGACAGTTGATGCGACCACTGGATCCGTTCGAACGATCGCAGAACAGCCAGATTTCAGCAGGTGACCAATACGGTGACAAATGACGCCAGCACAGTGACGGTGACGCCGCGACGGCCCGTCCGCAGGCGCGTGCCGCAACCTCAGTTCGGAGGCGTTCGAGTGCCGCTGCATGGCCGGCTTCTACGGCACCACCTGCGCCGACTTCAACCCGTGCTTCGGCAACCCCACGCCGTGCCTGAACGGCGGCACCTGTCACAGGTGAGCCACCTGACAGCCGTGTCAGCGTCGCTTATTAGGTCTGCTACAATGTGTTAGCGTCACTCAAAAGGTTTGACGCGAAACGTGTCCGTGGTGTAGTGGGTGAGCTGTTAACGAGCACATGTGTACCATACAGCGCTATGTGTGATGGTCGCTACATAATTAGCTGCATTCGAATGACATTTTTGTCATGTTCCATTTGATGGGAATCGATGTGGCGTGACAGGCTTGTATGTCTGTGACATGACATTGTATGGCGACACAACACTGATTTATGTCCTATATGACATGTGCCGTTGCATGAAAGGCGGGATGTATCGGTGCCAGTGTCGCGAATAAGCTCTATGACCAGCCATGCATCTCTGTTTCAGTAACGTCTCCAACACATACGTGTGCACGTGTCCCCCACTGTACCGTGGGGACACGTGCGCCACGTTCGACCCGTGCGCATCAGCCAAGTGCAGGAACGGCGCCACGTGTTACGCCGAGGCGGAGAGCTACCGGTGCCAGTGTCGCCTGGGATACGCAGGTATGCCGAACGTCCTGCTCGTGCCGTTGGCGAATGGGCGGGAGCCGGCAAGACCACGCCCCGGCGCGTGACGTCACGCGTCCCGCCGCCGAGCGGCTTCTGATCTCGGTGATATTGTGAACCCCAGTTGTATGTACATTGCCGTCTGGCCGCTGCGGCTCGTGTGTCCATCTCGCTGAGCAACTGTCCGTGTCTGGCAGGCCCGCACTGCGAGCTGGACCTGGACTTCTGCGCCTCCTCGCCCTGCAACAATGGCGCCACCTGCGTAGATGGCGCCACCGACTACACGTGCCTCTGCCCTGCTGGCTTCACTGGCATCGACTGCCATATCAACATAGGTAACCCGGTCGCTGCACGCAGCCCAGTAACGCGAGTTCTGAAGTCAGTGCGGAAAAGCAGCATCGGGACAGTCTGCAGAATGTTGAAGCGTTTGGGGCGGGGGGGGGGGGGGAGCGTCCGCGCATGACCGGGCGCCTAGGGTGGGCGGGACCCCAAACCTGGCTCACGGCCAAGGGATCGGTCGTGATTACGGCAGTCGGCGTAAGATGCTGTCGACACTGTATAAGTGAGGACTCGAATGTGCCGCTGAAGAACACCCAAAATTAGATTTGTGCGACGGATGCGAGGGATTGTGCCACACGCACGTCCGTTCCGATAGCTCAGCTGGTTAGAGCGCCTGCCATCCAATCCACCCTTCCGTGGCGGGGTGGGTTCGAGTAGCTGTAGAAACTCGCTATTTGCTCTTGATTGGGATGGACTGTGGCCGCTCTAAAGGTCAGTGTGACGTAAGAGCGCACGACGGACCGCGCCAAGCAGTGCGGCACTTTCGTCGTCAAATTCTGTCATTAACGTGAAATTTCACGATTGGATTGTGGGGGCCAGGACTCAAACATCATGCACTGCTTAAGGTGGGCTTTGATCTCAGATATCCGTCCATTTTAAAGGTTCGGCCTGCATCTTACAGTGACCGAGTGCAAGTGCGCCGCCCGAACACTGATGGCGGAGTAAAGGGCGCTGTTTTCCCTCCCTAATGCTGTGTTCCTTTGACAAGCATTATGCGCAGCATCTGAGAGACAGCTAAAAACTGACCGAAACTGGTCGGTCTAACGGTAGATTAGTGTGCAATGATACCTCATCCCACAGATAATGTGTGATACATGGTTGCAAGTACTGATACTACGTGTCATTTGAAGTGAATTTCACTACTGAAGTGGTCGGCTTGGTATGAAACACGCAATACATAGCATTGCGCATGTATTGGAGACCCCAGGTAAATCCATGACGACCGACCACTAGCTGATGATTCGGTTGTTGATGCGTCGAGACTGATCTTGTTCTACTGGCCGGGCGTACGGACGTTGAACCGTCACTCACTGGTCGTCTCACTTATTACTGGCCCAACGTGTGTGTCGTCCGGGTATTGATGCGTTGCTGACTTGCTCTGCTGACCGTCCGTCCGGGTGTTGATGCGTCGCTGACTGTTATTCCGCTGACCGTCCGTCCGGGTGTTGTTCCGTCGCTGACTTGCTCTGCTGACCGTCCGTCCGGGTGTTGATTCGTCGCTGACTGTTATTCCGCCGACCGTCCGTCCGGGTGTGTTCCGCCGCTGACTTGTTCTGCTGACCGTCCGTCCTGGTGTTGATCCGTCGTTGACTTGCTTGCTGACCGTCCCCTGGGTGTTGATCCGTCGCTGACTTGCTCCGCTGACCGTCCGTCCGGGTGTTGATCCGTCGTGACTTGCTCTGCTGACCGTCCCCTGGGGTTGTGTTGATCCGTCGCTGACTTGCTCTGCTGACCGTCCGTCCGGGTGTTGATGCGTTGCTGACTTGCTCTGCTGACCGTCCGTCCGGGTGTTGTTCCGTCGCTGACTTGCTCTGCTGACCGTCCGTCCTGGTGTTGATCCGTCGTTGACTGCTCTGCTGACCGTCCGTCCTGGTGTTGATCCGTCGCTGACTTGCTCCGCTGACCGTCCGTCCGGGTACTGATGCGTTGCTGACTTGCTGCTGACCGTCCGTCCGGGTGTTGATCCGTCGCTGACTTGCTCCGCTGACCGTCCGTCGGGTGTTGATCCGTCGCTGACTTGCTCCGCTGACCGTCCGTCCGGGTGTTGATCCGTCGCTGACTTGCTCTGCTGACCGTCCCCTGGGTGTTGACGTCGCTGACTTGCTCTGCTGACCGTCCGTCCGGGTGTTGATGCGTTGCTGACTTGCTCTGCTGACCGTCCGTCCGGGTGTTGATCCGTCGCTGACTTGCTCCGCTGACCGTCCCGTCCGGGTGTTGATCCGTCGTTGACTTGCTCTGCTGACCGTCCCCTGGGTGTTGATCCGTCGTTGACTTGCTCCGCTGACCGTCCGTCCGGGTGTTGATCCGTCGCTGACTTGCTCCGCTGACCGTCCGTCCGGGTGTTGTTCCGCCGCTGACTTGTTCTGCTGACCGTCCCCTGGGTGTTGATCCGTCGCTGACTTGCTCCGCTGACCGTCCGTCCGGGTGTTGTTCCGCCGCTGACTGTTCTGCTGACCGTCCCCTGGGTGTTGATCCGTCGCTGGCCGTTGCTCCGCTGACCGTCCCCTGGGTGTTGATCCGTCGTTGACTGCCATTCCGCTGACCGTCCCCTGGGTGTTGATCCGTCGCTGACTTGCTCCGCTGACCGTCCCCTGGGTGTTGATCCGTCGTTGACTGCCATTCCGCTGACCGTCCCCTGGGTGCCGACGCAGACGACTGCGCTGGCGACCCCTGCCAGCATGGAGGCGTGTGCCGGGACGGTCTGGCCAGCTTCCGGTGCAGCTGCCCGGAGGGGTACACGGGCCATCTCTGCCAAACGCCAGGTCAGTGGCGGCCGTCATCGTCAGTGCTGTACGCGATCGGCAGGGCACGCGCATGCAGCACTCAGAGCGGGCACAGATGAGCCTTGTCAAGTATCGGTTCAGGGCTAAACATGTTAGAAATGGCCCTAATAGCTCTAATAGCCCTGATAGCCCTGACAGCCCTGAAAGCGGTGCTATTTATCTTACACAGGCGGCAAAACCAGACAAAAGTGACATGTTAGCATATATGTGAGCAGAGAGTCGATGATTTTCAGTGAATTGGGAAGTGTGTTTTGTCAACTCGGTCCACAACTTTTCCAAAAGGCTGCGTGGGTAATAGATGAAGATGTATTGATGCAGTTCTTCTTGCTGACCTCGCAGCACCACCAGCTGCTTGCTAACATTCTCTATGATGACACTCATTTCCACCTGCCCACCACCGCACTCAGTATGACTGTTTCCGTGCTCTGGCTGTTCGGATTGTTCTGGTTGTGAGGCCGCTGCGCCGCTCCGCTGTGTCTGGTGCCTGTCGAGCGAGCGGTGCCGCCCCGAGCAGCGGCCCTGACCGGCGCTGCCTCCGCCGGCCGCAGTGAGCTGCCCACCAGAGCTGGAGGACGGCCGCTGGGGCCGGCTGTTGTGGGCTGAGACGCCGGCCGGCCGGCGCGCCACCGTGCTCTGTCCGGCCGGCGGGCGCGCGCCGGGACCCGACCAGCCGCTCGCCTCGCGCGTCTGCCAGCCGGCCGCCGCGCCGGCGGCGCCGCCACGCTGGCTGCCCTCTCAGACCGAACTCTGCCGAGAGAAGGTGAGTAGCCGGGCGGTCCGGTCACGGCGGCCGGGCCGGGACGTCCTCGCTGCAACATCTCCCGCTCAAACGAACTGGTGAGCTTATTTGTATAATGCAGCATGTTTGTGTTGTGCCTGATGCAGCGTCTTCTGACAGGTTTCAGAAACAGCCCAAGAGGCTCTCAACAGACTGACGGTGGCTATCACGCCTTATGTCGTGCTCCCAATGGTCCAACTACACAGAGCTCTGCCAGTGTGTACCCTTCCATCTCTCAGAGTCGGCCTCCGCGCAGTTCACCGGCCGCGCTCCGCCCTGGCAGCAGATCGGTTATACCGGCTTCTCTGTTGCAGCTGGTGGCGCGTGCTCACAACATCTCCGAGCGAATCTGGCGCAACGTGACGTCATACGGCGGCGCGCTCAACCCTGGTTCGTTCACATCGGCAGCGCAGCAGCTGGCTGACGTCATGCCCCAGGCGGCCAAAGATGGGCGGGTGAGGCCAAACGGCGGACTGCGCGGCTGGTGGAGAGACACTGCTCAAGGACAGATCTGGTGATCGGCCCTTGGATCCAATTCCTTCATGGCCTCATAATATGTAGCATGTGCCAACTGATGATAGAACTTAGGGCAGCATTGCCCTAAGAAACGCTGTTGTTGGTACAACAGCGTCGCAGCAAAGCAAGTGCCGTCTTTACCGACCGACTGGCATGCCACGCCAGTCCTGCCACCCGGCGTCAAGGAGAGCGCAGTAGTTGCTCTTCATCAGGCAGGCCGAGGACCCCGGAAGGATCAGTGTGTGGGGGCTTGAGCCGGCGCGGTCCGTGCTGACGGCCGGCGCGCTGTGTCCGCACAGGCGGCCCGCCTGGCCCTGCAGACCGTCAGTCAGCTGATGGAGACCAACATGTCGGCGGTGGTGCTGGGCGGCGCGACGGCGGCCGCCGCCGCCAGTCACCTGGTGCGGGCCGTGGAGCAGCTGGCTGTCGTCCTGCCGGTGCTCGGCGACCAGGCGGGCCCCCGGCTGCGGCTCAGGTACGGACGGGCCCCCGGCTGCGGCTCAGGTACGGACGGGCCCCCGGCTGCGGCTCAGGTACGGACGGGCCCCCGGCTGCGGCTCAGGTACGGACGGGCCCCCGGCTGCGGCTCAGGTACGGATGCTCACCCCCGGCTGCGGCTCAGGTACGGACGAGCCCCCGGCTGCGGCTCAGGTACGGACGGGCCCCCGGCTGCGGCTCAGGTACGGACGGGTCCCCGGCTGCGGCTCAGGTACGGACGGGCCCCGGCTGCGGCTCAGGTACGGACGGGCCCCGGCTGCGGCTCAGGTACGGACGGGCCCCGGCTGCGGCTCAGGTACGGACGGGCCCGGCTGCGGCTCAGGTACGGACTCACCCCCGGGCGGCTCAGGTACGGACGGGCCCCCGGCTGCGGCTCAGGTACGGAGGGTCTCCGGCTGCGGCCAGGTACGGACGGGCCCCCGGCTGCGGCTCAGGTACGGACGAGCCCCCGGCTGCGACTCAGGTACGGACGAGCCCCAGGCTGTGGCTCAGGTACGGACGAGCCCCCGGCTGCGGCTCAGGTACGGACGAGCCCCAGGCTGCGGCTCAGGTATGGACGGGCCCCGGCTGCGGCTCAGGTACGGACGGGCCCCCGGCTGCGGCTCAGGTACGGATGCTCACCCCCGGCTGTGGCTCAGGTGCGGATGGGCCCCCGGCTGCGGCTCAGGTACGGACGGCCCCCTAGCTGCGGCTCAGATACGGACGGGCCCCAGGCTGCGGCTCAGGTACGGACGGGCCCCCGACTGCGGCTCAGGTACGGACGCTCAACCCAGGCTGCGGCTCAGGTGCGGACGCTCTTAGTCTGACGCCCACAGGCGAGCAAACACCCCACTCGAGGTGCTTAGGTACAGTGAAACCGGGCGGGATGGAAGAATACAACCGATGGTATTCAGACACCGACATCGCCGAACTGCCGGTCATGAAATGACCTTGCCTGGACTGTGAAGAAGACAAAATTAAATGGCGCGTCCAGTGTGACTTGACTTCCGTACGATGGTGATATCCCATGTTCCGTACCAAACCAGTGCTGTTACAGTTTGTGCCAGCCGACCTTACTGCCACACTGCACTCGGTGGTACCCTGCCGTTTCAGTGATGTGAACTCTCTCCGCAAGCACTCGGTAGCTCCGAAAGATCCACTGCGCCCGGACGCCGCCCTGAGATGGCGCGGCGGGGGTGGCGGGGCACGCGGGTGACGCTGCCCCCGTCTGCTCGCTCAGGACCCGGAACATAGCGGTGGAGACGATCGACTACAGCGGTGACGAGCTGCTCGCGCTGGCGGCGCACGGTTTGGACGTGCGACCGTCGCTGGCTGGCCCGGACGACGGCGGCGGCACGACCACGGCCGGTCCGCCGGGCGACGGCGGCGGCGGAGGCGGCGGGCCCAGCCCTGACACGCCTGCCGCCAGGGTACGCCCGTCGGCCGCCACCGCCGCGCCGCGACCGCCGGCCGACGCCCCGCGACCGCGGCACGCGGATGGGGAATCTCACTGTTCGTGTGTCTGCGTGTGATGCGCGTGTGGTCTCTGTGCTAGAGCACAAATAGCAGGCGGCTGTATGTCCCGGAACATGTTTGCCGGTGCAAAATGGGCAGAAATCCTTAAAGGGGAATGTTCCACTTTCGGAAATATTGAGACAAGGGTCCGATTTGATGAATGATTTCACCTTTAGCTGTTGGTTAGCTTCTAAGTGCCAAATACTGCTCTAGACAAAAAGATGTATTTAGTAACCATGCTCTTCAACATGCCATCGCTTGATTACGTCATGGAACGCCTTCATGACGTCAGAGTTGCTACAAGACTAGCCTCGTCAGAATTGTCACTGTAGCGGACAGGCTGGCTCACTCGCAGTGTTTAAATTTATCGAGAGTTGACGGATTTTTTTTCTGGAGCGCGCTTGCGAAACCAAATATTGTAATGTGCTGGTGTTTTGTCTCTTTCTCGAGGTGTACTTGCACATTTGTCCATTATGTTATATTTCTTACTAGTATTGGCGTACTCGGTTATGGCGCCATTCTTAATCAATTCTCAGTCTTGTTTCCGTCATAATTTGTACCAATGCCTAGATTCCGGCACTATGTAGCACAAAACGTGATTCGTCTTCGCACATCCGCTTTTTTATCCTCTATCTTGCTTAGTCAAGCGTCCTCGGTAACACCCCGCTTGTGCGGGGCAGGCTGCATGCGCCAGCCACTGGTGGGCCGAAGGGTCCCGTGGTGGTAGGGCCCGCCAGCGCACACTCCGCAGAAGGATCCCTGCGTGGGCTTAGTCCCGGTAACTGGGTCCCCAGGCACATAGTCCTTCCCTACCGTTATACAGTATCAGTTATGTCATGGCCCTGAAATATTGGTTACTGCCCGAAAGAGCTCTAAGCCAAATAACCAAACAACTAAATCGTGCACAAAACTTGCGCTGAACACGTTACATTGGTTGAGGACCAACTGAAGTCCGTTGATGTCAGAAATCGTGCTGCCGTACACCAGACACGAATAATTCTATTATCATATTTGTCTTGCGGTTGAACATTTCATGGCCAGTGAAGTGACAGTGTTCGCGTTACGTTTCTCTGGCGTCATGCCTGCTTCCTCCTTCGTCAGGTAAGGATGCTTTACGCTGTGTGTTGTATGTGCCCTTCTCCACCAGGTGAGAATGCCGTGCCCTGTGGACTGTACGTGCTCCCTCTTCCGTCAGGTGAGGATGCCGTACGCTGTGCTGAAGCAGGCCGCCCGGCACCAGCGCCGTCTGCGGCTGGTCGTCATCGCCTACAGGACGTCGCTGCTGTTTCCCGCCCAGCGGCGGCGCGTCGGACCCGATCCCGGCGTCATCAGCGTCACCAGTGAGCATTCACCGCGACCGGGAGCCTGCCCTCGGAGACTGATCACAGAACCAATCATTGCGCTCAGGTGGCTGGCCACCGCCACCCATCAGACCCATGTTCCCGGGTCGTGGCGGCGAACATTGAGCCGAGTAATAGCTTCAGGGAGTCGGTGTATACGGGCCTGTGACTTAACCGTTCCGTGCTCAGCTGCAGCGGCGCTGCCGAACTTTCATCTTAGTCTGTAGTCGTCGCTGCTCGCGGTCGCCAGTGCTGAGGCACGGATTCTGGGATGTGATGTCGTGTTTTAGTGTCTGAGTCCCACAAGTTCGGTCTGTGACCGGCTCGTTTCTGTGCCGCAGTTCCAAAACACGACGCTCTGCGTTTGTGTGCTACGGTTCTGGGATAGCGTCCCTTGTGCTTGCCTGCACCGGCTTCAGAACACTGTGCACGTATGGGTACTGGGGTTCCAGAACACTGTGCAGTGTTTGCGTCTCGCAGCTTTGTAAGACGATGATGTGTGTCTCTGTGCCGTAATTGTGCGATACGGTGCTGAATGCTTGTGTGCCGTAGTTCTGAAATGACCTGTCGTGTGTTTATCTACCGCAGTTTCGTTTGACGATGCTGTGTGTTTGTTGGCCGCAATGCTGAATGCAATTCCATGAGTTTGTGCGCGGTTGTTTCGGGATACAATGGCTTGTGTGCTGCAGTGCCCTGATACGATGTCGTGTGTTTGTGTCCTATAGTTCTCTGATACCATGCAGTGTGTTTACGTGCCGAAGTTCTCTGATACGATGCCGTGTATTTGTGGGCTGCAGCTCCCGCGTACGATGCCGTGTCTGTGTGCTGCAGCTCTCGAACACTACGCCGTGTGTTTGTGTGCCATAGTTCTCTGATACGATGCCGTGTATTTGTGTGCTGCAGTTCCCACGTGCGATGCCGTATGTTTGTGTGCTGCAGTTCCCGCGTACGATGCCGTGTCTGTGTGCTGCAGCTCTCGAATACTACGCCGTGTGTTTGTGTGCTGTAGTTCTCTGATACGATGCCGTGTATTTGTGTGCTGCAGCTCCCACGTGCGATGCCGTACGTTTGTGTGCAGCAGTTCCTGCGTATGATGCCGTTTATGTGTACTGCAGTTCCTGAATACGATGTCGGGTGTTTGTATGCTGCAATTCCCGGATACGATGCCGTGCTTTTGTGTGCTGCAATTTCCGGATACGATGCCGTGTGTTTGTGTGCTGCAGTTCTCGGATGCGATGCCGTGTGTTTGTGTGCTGCAGTTCCCCGATACGATGCCGTGTGTTTGTGTGCTGCAGTTCCCGGATACGATGCCGTGTGTTTGTGTGCTGCAGTTCCCGGATACGATGCCGTGTGTTTGTGTGCTGCAGTTTCCGGATACGATGCCACGTGATTGTGTGCTGCAGTTGCCGGATACGTTGCCGTGTGTTTGTGTGCTGCAGTTCCTGGATACGATGCCGGGTGTTTGTGTGCTGCAGTTCCTGAATACGATGTCGTGTGTTTGTGTGCTGCAGTTCCCGAACACGATGTCGGGTGTTTGTGTGCTGCAATTCCCGGATACGATGCCGTGTGTTTGTGTGCTGCAGTTCCCGGGTACGATGCACACCAGCTGCCGGAGCCAGTCACGTTCGGCTTTTCTTCGAACGCTGCTGAAGGTTTTCAGCCGCGCTGCGTCTACTGGAACGAAGAGGGTGAGTTCTCCTCCCTACACCGAGCAGTCAGGCTAGGTGCAGTGTAGTGCTGCTGGGCGTTCGCATGCCAGTCGGAGCTGCGCAACATCAAGCTTGTGAATAAGCGCTGCCAGCTAGAGCACAGTCACTTTAAACTTCATCATCACATTAGCATTTTCCACCGGGTACTGTCAATACCCCTGTGGGCTCTGGTCCATTTGTTTGATGCTCCCATGTTGAAGCGCTTTATGCCAGCCTTGTATTGTTACGATCCGATCCGTCCTCCTGCGGTGGGCTGAACGTTACGGGCTTCATCATGCTGGATCTGCAAAGTTGAACGGGCATTTTTGCCGAAAGATAAATGGGATTATGTGGAAGGATCAGTATTTTGCATAACAGAACGACACTGAAGCCAGTTCGGGCTGAAGGTGACGTCATGACCGGTTTGGTTCATATTCCGTATGTGGCACCCCAAAACCTTAAGTTAAATGTGAGAAGGGTCGGAGGAGTGGAATTTGCCATAACTCACCTGCCATCCCTTCGGAGATCGATGAATTTCTTTTCCTAGGACAGGCAAGGAAAGGTGTATAATGCTTACAGTTGACCACAAATGTCCTTGATGATGTGATGTGCATGATTGCAGACGCCAGCGTATGCCTGGCGGCCTACTTGGCTCGGGAAGTTCCCTCGATTTATGGCACAATCGCATCCAAGAGTCTGGAACCCCGCCCAGCTCTTAGGACACACGACTGATGGGGCAGCCATGTGACAGCGGGGGTCAGACGATCATGTGGCGGCGGGGGTCAGACCCCCGTGTGGCGGCGGGAATGAGACGAACATGCGATGCCGGGGACACTTGCGGCGGCGGGATCATACGGTCGTGTGGCGGCGGGGATCAGGCGGACGTGCGGCGGCGGCAGTGTGAGCTGCAGGACGCGCGCCTGACCGCCGCCGCCCGCTCCTCAGAGATGGCATGGTCGACGGCTGGGGTCCGGACTGAGCCGGCGGCCGAGCGCACCGTCTGCTCCACCAGCCACCTCAGCTCGTTCTCGGTCCTGTTTGACCCGGTGGCGACGCCGATCGGCGGCCTGCACGAGCGCATCCTCAGCGTGCTCAGCTACATAGGCGCCACGCTCAGCCTGCTGGGTCTGGCGCTGACGATCCTCACCTACAGTCTGTTCAGGTAACTCGGCGCTGCCGCCCGTCGGCGTCACCGGCTCAGCAGCGCTGAACTGTCTCCGGTGCTGCGGCCCAGCCTGCCCAGCGCCCGATCGTGCCAGCCGAGGCTCGCACAGATGGGGGTCGCTCCGCAGCCTGCCTGCCTGCCGTCTTTAACGTATTCTGACCAGCATGGCTTCACATCTTGAGGGCGTCTCTGCTAACACGCTACGGGTGCACAAGCTTCCGGGTCCTCCACGCTGACCAGAGATGTAGGTCCACGAACTAGGTTAGGAGGATTTGGCTGAATAAGAAAAATGACTAAAGCTATGCAAAAAATGTTCCGAAGACGTGTTTCTCTCGAACCCAGAGTTGACGGGGCTGTAGCCCCAACCCACCTGAATAGGGATTTACGCCCTGCCGCTGGCCGATACGGTCCTCCACACTATCGGGCGCCGTTCGTTACCAGGTGCCTGAACCGGGACCGGCAGGGCAAGATCCTGCTCAACCTGTGCGTGTCACTGCTGCTGATGAACGCCGCCTTCCTGGTCTCTAACCTGCACGCCGTGCTGCCGTCGGCTCAGTTCTGCATCTCCACCGCCGTGTTGGTAGGGTGCCGACCCCGGTCCGCGCCGTGGCGGCTCCGGCCGCGCAGGTCACACGGCCATGACCGGCGGGGTCGTCTGCCGTGCCGAATGACCAGGCATGCAGTGCGCATCGCTGGTACTGTGGTGACAGAAACTGCTGCAGCCAGTATGCGCATTGCTGGTGCTGTGGTGACAGAAGTCGCTGCAGACCGCGTGCGCTCGCTGGTACTGTGGTGACAGAAACTACTGCAGACAGTATGTGCAATCGCTGGTGCTGTTGGTGACAGAAGTCGCTGCAGACAGCGCGCGTATCGCTCGCACTGTGGTGATGGAAGTGCCGCAGACAGCGTGCGTATCGCTGGTACTGTGGGTGACGGAAAATCGCCGGCAGACTGTAGTGAAATCGAAAGTGCTCATAATACCCACAGATGTTTTGGAGGAGAGCGCAGCCTGGAGAAGTCACCGGGATTCCATTTCCGTAACTAACAGAATGCTTTTTTGTATAATGTTAACATACCACGCCCGACCTGTTGTAAGACTGATCTCCTCGTGTTTCGCTTCCGTTATGCTGGAGCTGGCGGAACCAGATTCTTTGACCTGATCTGACGTGGCTTCAGGTCCACTACCTGGTGCTTAGCTCGCTCTGCTGGATGCTGGTGGAGGGCGGTCAACATGTACCAGCTCATCATCACTGTGTTTCGCCACAATCCGAGTCCAACTTCATGGTGAAGCGGCCTTCTGTTCGCCTGGGGTAGGTCGAGGCGCCCCCTCGATGTGCGTGCTCGGCTCAACAGACGTCGCCAAAAACATCGACCCAGATGTCCTCCAAGCGGCGCACAGCAGAGACGTGTGTGCCACAAACACGCACTCTTCCAATCTGACGATTTGACACGCACGCGCGTAATCTGAACTCGTCACCCTGTAGATGTCCCTAATAGCCGTGTGTGCACTCCAGCCGTTGCTGGTAAAACTCAAATCGCCCGTCGCAGATTCTGGTAAAATTGCAACCGCGACGTAGGCTCCAAGTTCCGTTCCTTTTTGTTGAGCTTGCAGTTCCTTGTCGCTACCAGCGGATTCAAAATGTCGCCAGCGGCGGATTCTGTCTCTATCAGTGCAATGCGGCTCATTGCTACGAACCCGCGTGTGGGTGTGACCGCTTGGTTGGATGATCGCGCCGCGCAGTTCTTGAGAGTTTGCAGGTTGTCATGCCATTGACGTGAGTTGTTGCAGCTTTTAGGGTCACTGGCGTGAAGCGTCGCAGTTGTTAATACTGGCGCGAGCTGTTGCACATTATTGCGTCAGGTTAAAACACTTCCGTTTGCGCAATCTGTGGTTCTCCCAAAGCGTTATCCTGAAGCCACCTATTGCCGTGTCCTGCACATCCAAGTCGCGCACCAGCGACTGACCGGTGATGACACGCCCGCAGGCCTTCCCCTGGCGATCGTGCTCTCCACCCTGGCCTCGGACCGGCGCGCCTACTATCAGGCCATCGACGAGCACTACTGCGTCATCACGGCACGACAGCCGTACATCTACTACATCAGCTTCTTCGGTACTTGCCGTCCTGACAGGCTGTCACGAGTGACTTTGATCAATGCTTTGGTTGACATGATGATCAGTTCTGCATTGGTCTGGCACGGAAGCGTTGAGAGTCACGTCAGCGATACTGCACGGTGCCAGGGCGCGGTATATGTGTCGTGTGGTGGCAGCGGCTGGGTACCTAGACTCTGTACAAGGCCACAGGGCAGATGTCGCGTTCATCTGACAGCGAACGTCCAGATCTCCAGAGTCCTTGGCGAGGCGTGCAGAGGCCCGTCTCGGCGCCGCCACCGGTAGATCACGGGTGGCGGCAGGCCTGGGGGCAGCCACCGACCACCAGGCGGCAGAGATGCGACGCTGTCGCGGCGATCGCGACAACTCTTCCCCTCCCACCTCTGATGCCACTGTTTCAGGTCCCGGGTGCGTGATCCTGGTAATCAACGTGGTGGTCTTCGCGCTAGTGGCCCGTGTTCTCTTCCAGCAGAGGACGCTGGGCAAATTTGGTGCCGTTCGTAAATCCATCTCAATCAGCCAGGTACGAGCCTTACCCTGTCATGCCATACACGCTCGTAGTGATTGCAAGTATGCCTGACTAGTTTGTATGCCTATGTAACTATGTAACTTAAACTATCTAACTATGCCTAACAATGTATGCCTAACTAGTTTACGCCCACCCCTGGTCGTGGTCGCGGCGTTTGATAGGCCGTTCTCTGATTAACAATGACTAGCATTGACTGGCCGGAGTCTCCGACACCATGAAGCGTTCCCACGCCTCCGGGATTCTACTGTCACGATCAACGCTTTAGCGGGTGCCGGTTGTTAACCAAAAATCCGTGAACGTTTGATTGCACTCTTCTATGTATGTCGCCAGGTTATAATGGTCCACGTCGAAAGTGTGACTAACTAGAGGCCGTGTCTATGTGTCGCCAGGTGCGGGGTGCATTCACGGTGATGACGCTGCTGGGCGTCACCTGGGTGCTGGGCGCCTTCGCCCTGGGCCGCACGCGCTTGGCCTTCTCCTACATCTTCACCATCCTGAACTCGACGCAGGGCTTCATCATCTTCGTATCGCGCTGCCTGCAGTACCCCGAGGCGCGGCTAGCCTGGCTGACACTCATCAAGACGGGCCGGCGAAAGCAGCGACGCGGCTCAGCGCCCTCTTCCAGTTCACAGGCCAACAAGAAGAGCTCGCTGCCCTCCAGCAGGACGGCCGCCCTCTCGGCCAGCTACTCGATGAGCTCATCGAGTGAAGGCGGCTGGCCGGGCCGGCCGGACGGCTGGCGCGTGACGGGGCCGCGCGGCCGCCGCCTGTCGGAGGAGGCCGAGCCGCGGCCGGCGCCGGGACCGGGGCCGAGCGAGGCGCGCCGGTCTGCCGAGCGGCTGCAGGAGGCCGGCCGCCGCCTACAGCGGCGCCTCTCCACCCTCTCAGTCGGCGTTGACGACACTAAGGAGGGCGCCGACACGTCGTGGCAGTTTGTGCGCGCGGCCGGCTCGCTCGGTGAGCTGCCCCCGCCACAGACGTTCAACGTGCTGCTGAACCAGGCGGGCGCCGAGCGGCTGCGGCGCTCGGTCAGCGTGGGCCAGGGCCGGCCGCCGCCGTCCAGCCGGCCCGGCCCGCTCGCCGGCCGCCACCGCTACAGCTCGCACGGTGACGTCACCTTCTTGCGGCCGGCGCCGTTCGAGGAGGGCGAGCTGCAGCTGCGGCGCAGTCACTGGGACCCACTCAACTACGGCGCGCGCGCGGGCGTCGCCGGGCTCGGGCTGGCCGCCGCCCACGGCGCGCCGCACGGCCGGGGGGACGGCACCGCCTTGCCGGCCGGCCAGATGCCCGACGGTTCGCTGTCGGACCAGTCGGAAGAAGACAGCTCTCTGGACGGCGAGCCGGCCGCTCCACACGACAACGACGTCACTGTCGGGCAGACAGCGGATGTCGGTGACAGCCGAGCTGACAGTGTCCAGCTGTCAGCACGCCAAGCAGCCGGTGCCGGGTCTCTGGCAGACGAACTGAGCACTGTCAGGCCACTGGCAGACCCGTCAGCCAGCGTTGAGTCCTTAACAGGCCAGCCGGCCAGTGCCTGGTCTCTGACCGGTCAGTCAGCCAATGCCGGATCTCTCGCGGGCCAGTCGACCCACGATGGGCCTCTGTCAGGCCAGTCAAACAGCCCTGGCTTTCTGGTAAGCCAATCAGTCAATGCTGACTCTCTGGCGGGCCAGTCAGCCAACGCAGGATACCAGTCAGCTGATTCCAGCCTACTGGACTCGCCCTCCAATGAAATGTTACTGGCCGGCACGACAGCCGATGCCACCTCGTTTGACAGCCAATCATCAGTTGTCAGCTCAGCTGACGTCCTTCACACAATAGATATGGCCTATACTGATACGCTGACCAGTCACTGCAAGTTAGCAGAGCAGGCACGAGGCGATCACGATATGTAGCTTTGGTCCAGCTTGTGGATAGCGAATGAGCTGTCAGCTTAAGCACACGACACGTTCATACGTCCCCTGTTTAAGTTTTCCGAAGCGGAGATGGGATCTGGCAACGGCGAATAGCTGTCAAAATGTAAGCGCTTTGTATGTTTGCCCGGCCTACGATGTCATGTGTCACACAGCTGCATTGTATGTGCTCGCGGCCGACTAGTACATCAGCCGCCTGTAAAGAGCGCCGTAGACGAGAAGGACGGCCACACATGGCGGCAATACATGTTGCGATGGATTGGTGACTTCTGGACACTGCGTGTTGGAAGCTTATAGAAAGCGTCGTCGATCCTGAAACTGCGGCAGCAAAATCTCCCGTGGTCATGCGCACTCTCCTGGCAAGGCGTGAAGGCCTTGGGAAATTATACGCTCTAACAGGATTTTCGTTCTCTGATTCTGATGCATAAGGTTGTCATCTGTCATTGTCACGCGTTTATCTGATGAAGACATCTATGCATGTATTTGACCCCTGGACAGTGCATCAGGAAAGCCTGACGGGCCAGCAGCAGTGGCGTACCGCAAAGATGCGACGGTCAATTCAAAACACTGATGGTCGTGCGCGGCGAATGTGACCGTGTGCACAATACAGCATTGTGGGAGCGGTATCGGTCGGCAACGTAAACCAGTTTTCAGCCATCGCATTTCTGTTCATGCGACCCTCTGGGGGTAAATCAGAAAGCTCCGCCAGCTGGTCGCTACCGTGATGACCAGCATACGCCGACCCGGGAAAACTACTCACAACCAAACGCAAAGAGTGAGAACGTGTGCATTCAGTGGCGCTGCTGTAGGAATAACAGCTGACATTACAATGCTCTTCCCGTAGACGGCATTCATTTTGTTTGGAGAATCAAAGTACTCACTGCTGATGGGCCGGCCGCAGCGGCGGGTTGCGAAGTTTGTGTGGGCAATCCAAATTACGTAGTGTCGCATTCGGAGTGTGCCACAGTGTTCCCTACGGCATCATTGTGGGAACACTATCGGTCGGCTATGTAGATCGGTTGACTACTGGCATAACCAGAATTGTTCCGATCACCGCGTAACGCCGCATTACCGATTGCTCCCGGCCGGACCGGACCGTGGTGGTAAGCATACAGCGTATCGGGAAATACGTCTCACCGCGCGCGGAGAGCCCGTGCATGTACGTTCGATAGTGCTAAGGTATTGCTATCAGTTGGCATTGCAACGGGCTTGTCCGTCGAAGGCATCCTTTTTCGGCTGGTCTCATATAGCGCATCACTCAATGCTGGCGGGGTGGGAGCAGCGACAACTTTTAAAAAAAAAACATGGCTGTCAATTATAAGCATGACTTACCGCGAGAGGAGGGCGGACCGCATGTGCGCCATGTCATTGTGGGAGCGCCCTTGGCCTCCAATGAAAATTATTCGTCCACCGAAATCACCTATTTTGTTCACGTGAACCTCTGACGCCACATTACTGCATGCAGCCGAAAAGAATGTGGCGTAATGGCCAGCATACGACGGACCACTGAGGGCGCATTACTAAATGTGGACAGCTGTCCCGTCATGTCATGGGTACACGGCGGCCCGGGAAGATTATTACATTCGCGCGCAAAGGGCGCGGTCGTGGCATTCGACAGCGCTGCTGTAGGATTATCATTCGACAGCGCTGCTGCAGGATTATCATTCGACAGCGGTGCTGTAGGACTATCATGCGATAGCGCCCCTGCAGTAACATCATTCGACAACGCCGCTGCAGAACCATCATTCGATGGCGCCGCTGTAAGACTACCATTCGATAGCGCCGCTGCAGTACTCCTGCATCATTCGAAGGCGCCGCTGTGGGATTATCATTCGACAGCGCCGCTGTAGGACTATCATCAGACAGCGCTGCTGTAGGATTATCATTCAATAGGCCGCTATGGGACTAGCATGCGATAGCGCCCCTGCAGTACTATCATTCGACAGCGCCGCTGCAGAGTCATCATTGGAGCCTCTGTAAGACTACCATTCGACAACGCCGCTGTAGGACAATCATTCGATAGCGCCGCTGTAAGACTGTCACTCGATAGCGCCGTTGTAGGACATCAGCTGCCAGTCCAACACTGTTCTCCGATCAAGTTAGTCACCAGACGCCCTGACAGCGCACTGACTGTTGGCAGGTCGGCCGAAGATACAGTTTACAAAGATACGACGGCAAAACACAAATATTTTGATGTGGGATGGGAGCGTGCATTTTGTGCGGGACAGGAGTGTGCACAAGGGCGGCCCACAACCGCATATCGGAAATTTCCAGGTTACCCCCTCAGATGACTCCACTTGGCTAAAACGTAGAAGCAAATCAAGCAAGATTTGGGGGTCGCTCAAAGCGATCAAAATTAAGGTAAAGCGTGGTCGACAGACATTGAAGTCACCCGAGACAAACGTAGAGCAATTAAGGCGATAACCTACTGTGACATTCGACTTCCGTAAAATCATAATTTGTTGCTTTTCCTTGCCAACTCATTTCAGACTGTAGCCTTGCGCACCAGGTTTCTCATTCATCATGCTTTTAGATTCCTTCATTAGCCGATCAAAATAGAAAATCCTCATTTTCATTACAGTGTGTTATATTTGGTAAACCGTAACATGTAAGACTGCGCTGATCAAACGCTGATAAAACGGTATAAACTGAACTTTGGAGTAAATCATGTCGATTATTCGGATACTCCATCATTAGCAGATTTTCCATTCTCGGAGAATACAAAACGAACGACAAGAGCTACGAAACTGAGCACGAGAAAAAGGTAAACAAAAAGGCAACACAATGCAAAAGTCCCTGCAGCCGGAGCAACCGCAACAGCAATATCAAAAGTTACGGCGTAGCTTAAAATACTTATTGTCGTGCGCGGTGAGAGCATAAACGTGCGCACGAACTCATTGTGGAGGCACTAACGACCGCCAACGTAGCTCGGTCATCGGATGACATCACCTATTTCGTTCATATCATCACTTGACGGAGCGTGACTAAATGCGGCAGCCCGGCGCGTGGTGTGGTGGCCAGCATCGTATTGCGTGAGAAAAAATACTCATGCAAATGCTGCGAAGAGTGCGACCGTTTGCATTCGATAGTGATGCTGTAGGGATACCTGCTGGAGCTACCGCACGCTTTTGTGAAGAGGGCATGAATTTTTATGGTTGACCCAGTGGCAGGCCAGCACTCAATGATGACGGGTCGTCCACATTGGCGATTTGCCAAGACGTGGGGTCCATTAAACATACTTATTGTCGCGGGCAGTGGGTGCGGCCGCACGCACACACTATCCTTTTGTCGGCCCTATATGCCGGTGATCTTAATAGGTCAAAAGGTCGCATTACCTTTGTTGTTCATATAATACACTGACGGCGCATTACTATCACCGCATTACAACAACAGCGTCGATTTGCAAAGAAATAGAGGTGACTTATTCTCCACTATATTGCTATTAAACTTATTATCAGCAACGGTGGAGACAACCGTGCGAACAGGTGTGGAACCCAGGGGCTCAACCTCGCATGGAGCCGACTGTTCGGCTCCAATCGAGTCCAATCGAGCCCTTGATCTTGGGTCTTGAGGGGTCCTTCGGCCCCTCTTCGGACCTTTTCAAACAAAGCCCGTGACCGACTAGGGGTCACTAGCCGACACATGACACCCTGTTAGGCAATGTGGAGCCTGCCAGTTGAAGGGGCGCGACCAGTGTAAATCGCTGGCCCTGGCCTTGTAACTGATTGGGAAGTGGACCCTCAGGCCCATGCCGACACGGAGCCAGCTGTGCGGTACTGGTGGTGCCTGACCGACATGTAAGCCCACATTGACTCAGGGGGTCCCCGGTCGGTGCAAAGGACCCTCTGACTGTCATTTAAAGGGCCGTCCCCACAGGCCGGGATCCCTGAACAAGACCCCAAGCAGCCCTTCGCGCCCTTAGACCACCCAGTCTGCCCCTCATCGTCGGGGCCGTTGGACGCTCCAGGCTCTTCGGACTTCCTCGAACACTGCCTCTGGTCAACTCAGGGCCGCTTGCCATCACAAGAACCCCGTGTGGGGTCCTGATAGACACTATGGCCCAACCAGTGTAAATCGCTGGCTCCGGCTTTGTCCCCGATTGGGAAATGAGCCCTTAGGTCCATGCCGTCATGGAGCCGACCATGCGTTACTGGAGGTATCTGACCGGCACATAGGTCCTTAGGGATTTGCAGGCCCTGATCAGCGTGCAAGGCGATCTGCCTGGCTTTGAGTGTTCGGCCTTGCGGACCGGGACGCTGAATACAACATCCGGCCGGCCTGTCAGGCCCTCAGGCCCTCAAGTGGATTCAGAAGGACCCAAGGGCCCCTGGGAACCTAAGGGGGTGCTCATACTCTCTATGCCCCCCACGTCTGGGCTACTACCACCTGTCTTTACGCCCATGCTACCAGTGAAGGCAAAAAGAGCCCCCTCAGAATGAGCTCTAATATTTCTGGCCGACATGTGCATCTTATTTCGCAATCAAGTGCATCTTAGTTTTCACGACTTAAATGCCCCCACCCCCTCCCTGAATAGAAACTGCACATAAGATTACA